CTTCCAATGAACACCCAGGACTGATCTCCTTTAGGATGGACTGGTTGGATCTCCGTGCAGTCCAAGGGACTCTCAAGAGTCTTCTCCAACACCATAGTTCAAAAGCATCAATTCTTCTGCATTCAGCTTTCTTTATAGTCCAAATCTCACATCCATACATGACCACTGGAAAAGCCATAACCTTGACCAGACGGAATTCTGTTGGCAAAGTAATATCTCTGCTTTTTAATATGCTATCTAGGTTAGTCATAACTTTCCTTCCAAGGAGTAAGTGTCTTTTAATTTCATGGCTGCAGTCACCATCGGCAGTGATTTTGGAGCCCCAAAAATAAAGTCTGACACTGCTTCCACTGTTTCTCCATCTATTTCCCATGAAGTGATGGGACCAGATGCCATGATCTTAGTTTTCTGAATGTTGAGCTTTAAGCCAACTTTTTCTCTCTCCTCTTTCACTTTCATCAAGAGGCTTTTTAGTTCCTCTTCACTTTCTGCCATAAGGGTGGTGTCATCTGCATATCTGAGGTTATTGATATTTCTCATGGCAATCTTGATTCCAGCTTGTGCTTCTTCCAGCCCAGCATTTCTCATGATGTACTCTGCAATATAAGTTAAATAAGCAGGGTGACAATATACAGCCTTGATGTACTCCTTTTCCTATTTGGAACCAGTCTTTTGGTCCATGTCCAGTTCTAACTGTTGCTTCCTGACCTGCATATAGGTTTCTCAAGAAGCAGGTCAGGTGGTCTGGTATTCCTATCTCTTTCAGAATTTTCCACAGTTTATTGTGACCCACACAGTCAAAGGCCTTGGCATAGTCAATCAAGCAGAAATAGATGTTTTTCTGGAACTCTCTTGCTTTTTTGATGATCCAGCGGATGTTGGCAATTTGATCTCTGGTTCTTCTGCCTTTGCTAAAACCAGCTTGAACATCTGGAAGTTCATGGTTCACATATTGCTGAAGCCTGGCTTGGAGAATTTTGAGCATAACTTTACTAGTGTGTGAGATGAGTGCAATTGTGTGGTAGTTTGAGCATTCTTTGGGATTGCCTTTCTTTCGGATTGGAATGAAAACTGACCTTTTCCAGTCCTGTGGCCACTGCTGAGTTTTCCAAATTTGCTAGCATGTTGAGTGCAGCACTTTCACAGCATCATCTTTCAGGATTTGAAATAGCTCAACTGGAATTCCATCACCTCCGCTAGCTTTGTTCATGGTGATGCTTTCTAAGGCCCACCTGACTTCACATTCCAAGATGTCTGGCTCTAGGTGAGTGATAACAACATTGTGATTATCTGGATCGTGAAGATCTTTTTGTACAGCTCTTCTGTGTATTCTTGCCTCCTCTTCTTAATATCTTCTGCTTCTGTTAGGTCCATACCATTTCTGTCCTTTATCTTATCACCTAGCCTAACCTTTTTTCACTCCTACAACAAATCACTCACTCGTGCATTATCTGCTCCTCAGTCTCATCCAGGGAGCCTTAAAGCCTATTCCCTCATTCCCAAAACAGGCATATCCAGGGAGAGGACTGGGAAATTGACTTAACTCACATGCCTCCAACATGAAAAATAAAACTCATGCTCACTTTAGTAGACACTTTTTCAGAGTGGATTGAGGCTTTTCCTACGAGATCAGAAACTACCTCAGAGGTAACACAGTTTTTCATACAAGAAATCATCCCTCACTTTGGCCTCCCACTCTCTCTCCAATCTGATTATGGGCCAGCTTTTATCTCCCAAATCACTCAACAGGTAGCCCAGTCCCTTGGCATAACCTGGAAATTACATATTCTTTACAGACCCCAATCCTTGGGAAAAGTAGAAAAGGCAAATTCTGTTCTCAAAACGCACCTAACCAAACTCTCTCTAGAATTACAAAGGCCATCTACCGAAGCCCTTCCCATGGCTTTGGCTGGAATTAGGGCTACTCCATGGGCCCCATCTTTCCTCAGTCCTTTTGAGCTCATGTTTGGACACCTTTTTCTCTTAGGCCAGTTCCCTCCTGTGAGCCCCTTGCAGATTATCTTCCCACTCTCAACTTTATTAGACACTTCATGAGAGAACATGCTGATCACACTGTCCCAAAGCCTCATCAAATGAATTCAACTGACTTAATACTCATACCTGGGGATTGAGTGCTGCTTAAAACCTTACACCATAAGGATCTCCAGCCTCGATGGACTGGTCCACCTGATGTCATTCTAACCATACCAACAGCTGCTAAACTAGCAAGTCATTCCTCTTGGTTTCATATCTCTAGATGAAAGCAGGCCCCAGGAGCCTCTCCATCTCTGCCAAGAAACATTCCCAGCTCAGATGCTTCTCGCTACACCAGCACTGTTCTGGAACCCACCAGGCTTCGACTGGATTGAATTTCAGAAGGAACAGAACAGCCGGAAAGAACTATTGATAAGTAAAACAAAAACAGATGTATTGGTTACTAATTGGACTAGGATTTCCCCTACTTACCCTATTCACAATAGGATTTTACTCTGTGTCTCCCTCTGAATGGACTATCATTCAAAAGCTTTCCCTCTGTTTTACCTACTTCTCCATAGTTCTTGTTTTTTGGGGTATGGCCCTCCTCTTACTGTGATCAGCCTAGATGAATTCATTATCCACTTTCCTTCACATAGTAACACAAGCCCTTACCTTTCCTGGAAACACCACTGTTACTGATCTCCCCTTACTCCCTGACTTTATAACTCATCTTTGGCTCCAGGGAGATTATTTCATAGAGTTCACACCAACCCAAATTTATGTCTACACCTGGATTCTTATTTTTATCATTTACTCCCCTTAGACATGAGACATCACATCATGATTTTACTCTTACTCTCTCTTCTTTTACAGTCCAAACTTCAAACTAATATCCTGCCTATAACTCACCCTGCCTCAAAGCTTGCCTACCTATTCAGGACTCTAAATCTGACTCATCATTTACTCAATACCTCAAACCCAACCCTGGCCAGTGATTGCTGGATTTGCTTATCCATCTCCTCCCCCTGAGGGTCGGCACTCCCCATTTCCACAGATAAATGGACTCATTTAAACACTTCTCTTTATCACACATACAGAGAAGAATCTCTCTTTTTATCATACATACATTATTTATATTCTATTGATCACATTCACAATCCTAACAAGATACTGATCTCCCTCCTTAAAGATCTCACTTCTACTCATAAAGGACCAGCTATAGGAGGACCCACCAGCTCTAACGTTCATCTACAATGACAGGCTCCTTTTTGTTTTTCCAGCCAAAACTCTATGAACAATTCTTACCCCCAACTAGGAACTATACCACCACACCTCTGTAATCACACTTCACATCTCTCCTTCCCTTCAGGCAGATCTGTCTATCATGTCTCAGGAACTGCAGGACATTCTCTTATTTCTCAGGGAGACTCCCTTCTGCATATGGTGTAAATACTCCTCTTGTAGGGGCTACACTGGTGAGTTCACTGTCAGTTTCAGAGACTACTAACAAGTTCCCAGAAAGACTCCTATTTGCTATCGATTTCTGCTGTTGTCTTCTTACTCCTGGAATAGTTTTCTTATGTGGAACAACTACTTATTTATGTCTTCCCACTAATTGGGCAGGAACATGCACCCTGGTACATCTAGCCCCAGATATTTCTATTGCTCCTAACAATCAGACCCTTCCTATCCCACTAACTCATAACCAACCCAGATGGGCAATTTAATTCATTCCTCTATTAATCAGTTTAGGAATATCTGTTGGGATTGGGACAGGGACCACAGGACTCACAACTTCTTTAAATTACCATCAAAGCCTTTCTAAAGATCTCACTGACAGCCTAGAAGAAATAGCTAACAGCCTTATCACTATCCAAAACCAGCTAGATTCCCTGGCAGCCATGGTCCTCAAAAACAGAAGAGGATTAGACCTCCTCATAGCAGAAAATGGAGGCCTATGCCTATTTTTGGAGGAAGCCTGCTGTTTCTTTGCTAATAAATCAGGCGTTGTAAAGGAAGCAGCAAGAAATCTGACAAACAGGGTCTTGAGAATATGCCAACACCTCAGTAATTCATGGGAAAGCTGGAAGTGGATGCCCTGGATCCTACCTTTTCTAGACCCTCTCCTTCTACTTACCATTATTCTAACTTTCAGCCCATGTTTGATGCATCTTTTCTCAAAATTTCTTCAGGACTGCTTACAAGCCTTCACCAACCGAACTATCCACGAACTACTCCTAACTCACTCAGATTATCAAAAACTTCAATCCCACACAAATCCCCTTGACCCCCACTCCAGCCTTTTCTTGTCTTACCCCCATGACACCCCTGTCCCACAGGAAGCAGTTACAGAAGATTGACCTTCGGCCCTTATCCTAAGTCAAAAAGGCTGGAATGACAGGGCCCACATGGAGTCTCATTGATAAGGTGGCTCATATGTCCACCTCACAAACAAAGAATAAATCACAGTGATTTGTGAGACTGACCAAATTGTCCAAATGGCATCCTGTTATCTCACTGGTGCCTACCTTCTCAGAGCTGTGAGACCACCAGATTCCAGACCTCTGGCTACATGATCACTTCAGAGTATTTTTCGTTGGTGGGGTATAAGAAGGACTCTGGCAGAAAGGGAGAATGCTGGTTCTCCTTAAGAGACAGTCACCTTCTCTTTTCCCTCTAATAAATTTCCTTTTCTTTCCTGACTGCCCGGATTGCTCTCTTTTTCTCTGCACTCGTTTTATGCATATGGTTGATTCCTTTCAATGTTATAAACCAATTTTACCTCAACAAAAAGTAAGTTAAACAAGAAAGAGCCTTCTCAATGATCGATTGATAGTATCATTACATTTGTTTGTATATTGGTGGTAAACACAAACATCTAAGTTTTGTTATAAAATTTACCACTGAAAATGTTAAAAATATTGGTTTAAAGAATAATCCTTTTAATGTCATGTAGAATTACATGTTGCTAAATATTAAATTAGCTACATTTTATCTCAACTTCTTCTCTTTTCTACTTATAGAATTTGTTTCGTGAGCAACAAAAGATTTTTCAAGCAGAAAGAATTGTTCAGAGCCAGAGACTGAAAAAAATTGTAAACTTATATGACCAGATTTTAAAGGTCTGTTGTATTTGGTAATGCAATTCATTCTTATAAAACATAACATATATATTTAAGTAGAAGTTAGATTCTTTCATAGTTTTGGTAACAGTATTTTGGTGATAACATTTTAAATTTTTCAGCATTTTCCATTTGGAGCAGTTGATTCTGGCTGAACATGAATGCTAAATTTATTTTTATTCTTAGGATTTATTATTAGCTTTGTGATGTTATTTAAAACAGAAAATGGTACATTGGGAATATTGCCTAGGAAGAGACGTATCGTGATTAAAATCGATATTTTAATCTTAATTTTATATTAAGCAGTCGGTTTTTTGGGAGATCAGTGACAACTATCACAGAAAGTGGGAAGTCTGTGATTAGGTCCTAATGTGTTTTACTTCTGTTTACTTCAGTAGTGTATGTGAAATAGTAAGTTGTATTGTAATTCCTGAATATCTCTTTTATTTTCAAATATATTATGTGAGTGGTTTGTGGCATATTTGCTCTCAGTTTTTAAAAGTCTTTTAATTGGAAGATAATTACTTGACAAAGCAGAATTGCTACAGTGACTAAAAATGAATGGCTTTATATGCAAACGCGTAGTCACAGGAGGAAGCCTGGAATGCATAGCAGTGTGAAAAAGCCAGAGGAAGACAAAAAGCTTGTGAATTGAGAATCATCTACCATCCCACTCTCCTACTAGCAGACTGACTTCATGACACTATCCTCTGCTTCAAACAGATGCATACTTATTCAGGAGGCAATGGAATCCCAGATATACACCCCTTCTTATTTTGACGGGATGTTCCATTTCATTACCTTGCTCAAATACATATTAATATGTCACTCTTCTAAACTACATAAGATAGTTTAAGTGAACTAGTAAAAGAGTTTTAAAATAACTATCCTTTAAAGAACTTTAGAATCATTTAGTGCAAAAGCGTTATTGTAGAAGTGTTTCCAAGTGGGCAAATGTGTTATTCTAATGCTCCCTGGTAACTATTAATTGATGTGAAGATTTGATAAAGTACCAAAAATGATATCAGGTTGGTGACTTCAGTGTTGTCTTTGACTCCCCAAAGTTCCTTGTTCTTCCCACCAATCTATTACTCAGCCCTGCAGTTTTCACCTCTGCAACTGTACTTTAATTTCTTCCTTTGAATTCCCACTGCTGCTGCCTTACCTGGTTTAGGGCCTCATTGTCCCTTGCTTGTTCTATTAAACTCTTGCCTGACTTCTCTCCTCTCCAATCCATCCTTCACACTTCTGCAATATGATCCTCCAAAAAGTATCCCTTCCCTCCTGAAAACTTATCATAATATCTTCCCAGTTTGAAGTCTCAGGTGTTCAAAGTATCCTCCATAACAAGACCCCCCTCTTTATTGTCTCCCACGTACATTCTTTGTCTCCTCCCACCCGTCCAGATTGGTTCCTTTGTCTGCACTAAGTCACCACTACCTCCTTGCTTTGCGTATGCTCCTCGCCTATAGTAGGCTTGATTCCCTTATTCTTTTACCTGCTGCTGCTGCTGCCAAGTCCCTTCAGTCGTGTTCGACTCTATGCGACCCCATAGATGACAGCACACCAGGCTCCTCTGTCCCTGGGATTCTCCAGGCAAGAATACTGTATGGGTTGCCATTTCCTTCTCCTCTTGTTTTACCTATTGACATCTTATTCTTTTGCCAACAAAATCAGAAACCATCCTATTTTCCACTACATAGCAACGGCAAAATGTGCTTCCTGAATTGTTATACTGTTTTTGTGTTGCTTTCTGTTTATATGTTTTTAATTCTCACTGGAATAAGGAAGAGATTATGTACTCATTTTCTAATTCTTCCAGGGCACTTAACAGAATGCTTTTTTTTATATAGGATGCACCAGATTCCTATTTGCTGAATGAATAGTAAAAGTTTAGAACATGTTCGTTTTTCATACCTTAATGAGGTCCTATGACAGATCATATTTTCCCTCTAATAGAACCATGCTGCACTGATTATTAGTCATTGTAGGTGCATTGTTACCTGGTGTTTAGAAAGCTTGTCAGAGAGTTTTTAAACTATGGCATTTCAGGATATGAGACTGTCAGTGATTTCCTTTCTTCCTCCTCCTCTTCTCCTTCTCCTTCCTCCTCCTTTGCCTCCTCCTTCTTCTTTTTGGTCCACCTTGAACTTAGCTGTTCACAAACCCATTGATTTGAGCAAAGTTTGGTGATAATGATCTTTGACTCTGATACAACATTTGAACTATTTCTTAAGTGGGTGTTTCAATCTCCATGTTTTAGTTATAATATTTTTGAAATAAATAATGAGCATCCTTTGAGAGTTGTTACTTTGAAATTTAATTGTATGTGTCTAGAACAGGAAATGAAAAATTGTTCTTTGTCACTGGACTAGGCCTTCTGTTTTAGAGTATGGAGGAGTTTCAGAAGGATCATGAACATCTGACTGATGAACAAAGTGAAGTTACATGAGAAATGGCCGTGCTGCAAAACAAAACTGTGATGGATGCTATAAGTAGTGCATGTTTAATACTGAGAACTATGGAGGGACGTGAGCATTGGAGTACTGTTTTTATAAACTGTATGTAACAATTACCTACACAATATGCAAGTGTTTAATATTTCTTTCCTTTCCAGAAACATCAACAGCAAGATCTGGCAACTATTCAGAAATCTCTTCAATACCAGCTCTCTGACGATGCTGAAGAAAGAACTGGAACCTAAGTTATATGATAGAAACGTAATATTAGCTCCATCAAACCTATACTTTGCCATAGGCTAAAATTTTCTAGTTGCAGTCAGTACATCTTGTTTATCATTTGTTTGTTAAGTGTAAGAATCCTTTTCTGTTAACTACTAAATGAATTCTAAACAGTTATGTGGGTAGCAGCAATTTCACAGGTACAGGGATCAAGCTTTCCACCCTTTGGGTAGCAAATGGAGATGTTTTCTCCCTAACACTATCAATTAACTTTTAGAAATAAATCTACTTCATTTTAAGTTTTGGCCTCAGCAGTTCTATGCCAGCCCTAGAAAATGGAAAGCACCAGTGTGGAAAGTTATAGTGTTCATCCTTAAGGAAAAGAAAAACTGAAGAACATAAAATCTATTTCAACTGTGAATCCCCTTTGTATCTACTCATTGGTTTACAAAGCCAATTCCAGTGGGGGAAAATTATTTCAAAGGAAAATCTACTCCATTGCCTTAGAAAAATTATTAAAAGCACTTGAGATTCTGTTTGTGAATAAATTGAGCTGCTAAAAATCATTAAGAGGACAGGCCTAGGTATATAAATATCCATGCTGAGATATGGGCTCATGAATTGCCATTTCCACAAAGACATTAAAATGTCATTTAATTGTTGCTGATACACTATTACATGACACCTGCCCTTACCATTGATCAAAATGCATTTTATATTAATATTCCTTTCAATGAACCACGAAGCCAGGAATGTTTGTGCAAGTGTGATCTAAGGACTTGGGGTCAGCTGGAAAAGATCTGCATAGGGGGAAATGTATGAGGATAACTCACCTGGATGTCAGGGGGAGGCAAGTAAGAAATAAGGATGCCCCAAGTCAGCTTTCCTGAGGTGACCCTTAGTTAGCAACAGCCCCTTGACAGCTCTGGACCTGGCACCCCTAGAGTTAGACAAAGCCATGCTGCTCCACATGCAACTAACTAGAGGAGAGCCAGCCGACTTTCATATCACTGTGTACCAACCAGATGAAGGCTTCTTAGTGTGGAGGAAGGGGAAGGACCTACCAGGACCTGCCATCCAAACTATTTATGTCGTTGTTTAGTTGCTAAGTCGCATCTGACTCTTTGCAACCCCATGGACTACAGCACTCCAGGCTACCCTGTCCTTCACTAGTAGCAGGTTGCATTGCTGGCTGGCAGTTTCAAGTCAGAGAAACTTTCTGAAAGACAGGTATGGGTTTGAGTCTCAGCTTGGGCACTTCTCAGTTATATGACTCTCAACTTGCATCCTAAATTGTCTATTCCCTACAACATTCCTTTTTTTTTGGCGGTTGGCAGGGGCGGGGGGCGGTTCAGATCAATTAGCAGTGTTTCTGCTCTCGAGGGGATGATTAAACATCATGAAAGAAAACTTAAGCACTTCCCATGGTCATTTCAGGAACCCTGAGCTGAAACAGAGAGATGGGAGAGGCAGAGTAGTCCCTGAGAACTTGATCGGGGACCATTGAGGTATTCCATTTCCCTACTCAGTATCCATGTACCCAGTTCACTTAGTTCCCCTCCACAGAAACAAGAGATTGTTACAGGTGGAATAAAGACACAGGAAAGAAAATTCAGCCTTTTCCTCTTTAGGTACACATAATATACATTTTTGAAAATGTAAGACAATGCCATGCTTTTCAACTCTATTTTTTTTTAAATCCACTATTTCTTCCTGTATAACATGTTCACATGTGCATCACGATAAAGTTAATATACTTTTTTACTTCAGTGCATGAATTATAGAGCAGATTTCTTATTCCCATCCCCCCAAAATACTTGAGGATTTTATTACAGTGGTATGAAGAGTGTTATAATTCAACTAAAAAAATTAATGATATTCTCAGACTGCACAACTTGCCATTTTATAAAGATTTTTACTCAATTCTTGTCTTTCAGTCTATCAGTCATGTTCAACTCTTTGCGACCCCATGATCGGAAGCATGCCAGTCTTCCCTGTACTTCACTGTCTCCCGGAGTTTGCTCAATCTCATGCCCATTGAGTCGATGATACCATCCAACCATCTCATCCTCTGTCACCCGCTTCTCTTCCTGCCCTCAAACTTTCCGAGCAGCAGGGGCTTTTCCAGTGATTTGGCTCTTCGCATTAGGTGGCCAAAGTATTGGAGCTTCAGCTTCAGCATCAGTTCTTCCAATGACTATTCAGGGTTGATTTCCTTTAGGATTGACTGGGTTGATCTCCTAGCTGTCCAAGGGACTCTAAAGAGTCTTCTCCAGCACTGAAATTCAAAACCATAAATTCTTCAGTGCTCAGCCCTCT